GGAGTACTGGAGTAGACTGTAAATGAGTAGAGATTACTTAATGCATAGATTAAATAATAGTGACAACATCCTGCTTATCTGCAGCCAGCCAGCACTCTGTTCCCTTCTCTGCATTAATTTGTCTCATCTCTGGTTTCCTTCTATATGCACATTGAGAACTAAATTAATTTAATCCCATTGGTTTCATTCTGGGATCATTTATCCTAGTGCTTTATTCCCTTTAGAAAATAAAATGTGGCTGCTGTTACTAGTTTAATTTTGTTCATATCATCCTTTTAAAGGTGGCAGACCAACTTTTTTCTCTCCTGCCCTTGCTATATGGCCTCATATTTGGTGGCACCTGCAGGACTTGTTCTGCTTCCACAGTAGTGACTACAGAAGAAGTTGTGCCGCCAATTTTATCCAAGAGAGCCTGCTTACCCTACCCTTCTTTCCCCTGGCAGAGATTCCATGATTACAGGTGAGTCTGCTAGTAAGACTGTTTGGTTTCTTTTTATTTATATGGACACTGTTAGCACTCCGAAACACTCTACAGAACACTATCAACAAGAATTTGCACATGAAAATATAGAAATTTATGTGTCAAACCAATCAATGGGTAATCTTACTTTTTAAATGCAATTAGCATTCCAGATCTGAAAGGGCAGGCCTAATCCACTAGGAGTATCACAGTGAAGTTAGGAGAGGAAGATGTAATGGGTAGATGCTTTATTAAAATGGTGAACAAACATGCTGACTTCACTTCTCTTTAAATTATGCCAAATTATTGCAAAACACTAGGAAAAATCCAAACCCTATTAACAAGAGGCCACATGAGAAAATTATTTGTGGATGTGTAACAACAGAGGGTGTTTGCTTGTAAGAGTGCAAGGTCTTTAATGAGTAAGTTTTGTGCTGATTAATAGCAGTGGAGTAGCAGATCTGAGCCTGCAATTATGACCAAGCCCTTACTGATGGACTCAGGAAAGACTGAAGCTGCAGCTGATGCTTGCAGAATGTCACTTTGAAGAGCAGCTCCCATGATCAGCTGTTATGTCATCCTGTGCAGAGGTTGTTTGAATTTGTGCAACTTCATGTGAACCATGTAAACTAAACTCAGTGCAGTCTCTGCAAATAACAATGCATAGCAAGTAAGTACAAATGTCATGGTAAATTTGTGCTGCATCAGAAAGCTCAGCCTTCAATAAGTTGCAGAGGCTAAAACCACAGAAACAAAAAATAATTATAGTGACTCCTGAGGGCTGTAGAGGAATTCTTCTGAATTAATAACAATATTCATGTGCTGCTTTCTTGTCAGCACATCAACCACAAGCACACAGAGGCTGTTGGTAGTGACACTGATGGGTTCTTCTGCTGCCACTTTGCTACAGGGTACAGAAAAACCTGTGATTTATTTAGTGCATTGGTCAGCCTGACAACTCTGCTGTGGTGGCTCAGAATAAAGCTTCTGGGACAAATTCAGTGAAGGGTTCAGCAGTTCAGCACTTAAACTCTTTAACATTGGGTTCCTTTATTCGGATCTTCAGGTGAGAGAACAAGATACAGCTTGGTCAGACAGGTCTGAAGCCTGGGACATAACAGTTGTTTGGTTTTCTGTCTCTTTGCTACTGATGACAATTCCTTGAGCAGCTTTACTGTCAGAAATAACACTTGATGTGTGTTTATCTACTGGCCTTAACTGATATTTAGTATTTTATTTCAGATATATTCTTTAATAATTAGCACACTATGAATTTGGCTTATAATTAATGTCCATTCAATTTAGGTTCCATTTTAAGAAAAGCTGTTCATAATTCTCTGGGAATCACTTCAAACAATTCTTAAGATTTTGAGGTATATTTTAATTGGAAAGCAATTGTCAGGGAAGAAGTTTTGCACCGATTGAGTCACAGCTACTCCTATTACCTAATCAAATCTTCTCCAGTAAGGTCCTATGAGTTCTCCCTAGCTCTTCCTAGCATGTAAGATCATTGACTCCTGATTTTACACATTTATTACTGGATGGGCAAAAGGTGTTATTGCAATACACTTGGCCTACAAAGGTCCATATTCTCCCTCAGTTTCTTGGGAGTCTCAATTGAGTAGTTCACCTACCAGCAGGGTGGTCTACATTCTGCGCAAGGACTTGAGAAAATTTTAGTTGCCCAGGTGACTTGGATATGCTTCTTAGTGCTTCACCATGGCTATAGGCAATATTATCAAACATTTTTCTGTGTGGGAGGAAGCAACATGACAGCAACTTCCTTGTTCATTTCCAGGAAAGAGGTAGCATGTTTTTTCAGGTACTAATGCTATAAATTATTACTGGCAGGGGCCAAATTCTGTTTACATTTTTATTTCTTGTTGAAAGGTAACAGCATTCCAAGTTCTGCTTTTGGTAAAACAGACTTGTCACTGCCTCTTGTGTAAGCAGACCATTTATAATAAAGGTTTTTGTGATAGTGTATAACAGAGCTCACATTTGTATCCTAAATTACTTTCTTTTCCTTTCTCCCTCTTTCTTTTCCCTCAGTCTATAATTCTTGAAGTACTTGATACTGCTTTTCCAGTCTTCTGTTTATCTTTGCCAGATAAATGGCATTCCTTTGACTCCTCCAAGTGTTGTAGTAGAGAATAACTGAGATCAGGGACATTTTGGTATAGTATCTAGTTTTTCTTTTTCTTTTTTTTTTTTTTTTTAAATTCCTCTCTGAACACTCATGTTCATTTTTATGGATTTTGTTTTTGCTTCTATCAAAAGCAATTCCATACCAAACACCCTGGCCATTTAGCTCCTATATTTAATCAAGGCAGGGAAAAACAATCCTACTGGTTAGTTTTAAGAGTTGCAGACAAATCTTCCCTGAGTGCAACTATTCATGTGGTCCAGCTGCTGACCTAGTTTGCTGAATCCAAGTAGGGATGCTTCATCTGGCCAAAAACCTGTCTTTGGAGGAAGTAAATTGAACAGTAAATTCTTTCCGAGCAGCTGAACATCCCTGTTTGCCCACCAGCACTGCAGACAGATGAATGACTGCAGCTGTAGGAGAGAGTTTGAAGCACTGGGTTCCCCTTTCTGTTGTGATACCAATACCTCTCAGCCCAGAACTGCTACTTGCACCTCCTCTGGTGCCAGCTTCTGAGTCTGGCAGCATGAGGATTTCTCCTTTCCTCTCTCTCCTTCAGCATCACCCAGAGCCTCAGTGGTGCACACAGGTTCTGCACCTTCTGCTCTAAGACCAGCTCCTCCTCAGCCGCTGCTGCCAACCAGGTGGGAAAATGTACATGGAGGGATTTGACTGCAGCTGCTTGGGTCAGTAGTGGGAGACTGAGACCAGACCACTCCGGAGGAGGGTATAAACAAGTTATGCAATGGACCTGGGAGCTCACAAATAGTCACCCCTGCTCCAGCCTCCCACTGCTAGGTGCCCCTCACAGGCATTCAGCACACCCTGCTTTGCTCTCTTACCCATTCAGACTCAATTGTGTGTGAGGAGCATTACATGATGCTCATCTCTGTAAAATTCAGCCTTTCAGTCTTCTGTAAGACTGAAAAAAATATAATAAATGCATAAAATCAGGGACTGGTTACCAAAAGTTTTCATTAATTCTCATGAATGTAGGAGGCAAACTGTGGAAGCCTTAAACACCATGTGATTAGACTACTGCATCTACATGTATCATTAGAGACAAAGCTCTTAAAAGCAAACTGTAGGAGACCATCCCACATTGCTGTCTAGATGATTAGGATATTACTTGGAAAGTCACTGGCACCTGTCACTCAGGTGTTCTCAGCCTGAGAGACAGGCTTCAGTATTGGACAGAATATTTTTTAAAGTCAAACTCACTGTGAGAAACAGAAATAGTGAACAGGGAGGGGAACTGACTCCTGCCACCTGTTCTAGTCCATGCTCCACAGTGAGTAGGCTGCTACCCCTGTGACAGCTGTCATTGGGCAAAACATGGCAACAGAACACAAATTGTGAGGTATGTTGGTTCCTCAACATGTTTCTGGAAAGGGTAAGTCCATTTCTGAGCAGCAATCAGTGTGCAGCATAACCTGTGTTTCACTGATGGGCTGCAGTGAAACCACAGGATTTGGTTTGTCCTCTGAGCAGTGGAGACTTTCACTTCTGCTGTGTCAGAGAGAAGAACCAGAATAGGAATTTAAGTAAAATTGGGCAGAAGTTTGTAATTTGTCTACGTTTGTAAATTTATTTTCGTGGATACTCTTTTGCTAGATGCACAGTGTGGGTGTAAGTTGTGTCCTCTTCAGTCTGTGAAGCTATGAAATTATTCCCTTCCCCAGCAGAAAAAGTGACACCATCACTGTGAAAAACACATACTTACATGATCTACTTTTCTGGTTTTTATTAACTCAACGTTGTCTCCTACAAATACGATTTGTCATTCACCAGAAGATTTGAAATGTAGACTTAAGTTACACATAGGTATAAAAAGCATAAAACAGCACACGGTACCACTGTTTACACCAGAAAACATTGTGTTGTCCACAGATAAGAGTGTTATTCGAGCTCAGCTCAGTTTCCTTCTGCCTCAGGGATTCAGTCTTCAAAGCTGCAGATGCTTCTGCTTCTTATCTCTCAGCAGCTGAAGCCCTGCTGGCTTTCTCCTGATGCTTCTCACCTGGAGCATGGACCGGGAAAACACAGGGCAATCCCATCCTGCTCCACCAGAGGTTGTAAAACCTTGGGCTCCTACTGGCTCTTCGGAAATGTTTTCCTCCTTCTCTTAATTATGTACAATATATGAAGGGATACGATTTTCATCTTTGATTTAGACATATCTCTTGCCTCATACTTAAACAATAACTTGAAAAATATTTTACAAAGAAAAAGAACATTGTTCATTTGAAAGTCATTCATTATTATATTGCTATATTTTATACCCTATTATTATTATATACAAAATTTCTTAATTGCCTTTTACAGATGCATGGAAGCATATAATATAACAGTTTTAAAGGATCCCATCTTTAGATTTTTTTTTTCCTTGGCTCATGTCAATCTCTTTAATAAACTATGGTTGCTTGGAGAATATAGGAAGTATTTGGAATGTTGTTTAAAGTTTAATAATAACTGGTAGCATTGTCCATTTGTGGCCTGAATGGTTGGAACACCTGTCAGGGCGATCTGGTAGAGATAGCAGCATCATAAGACTTAAACAATCATGGAGGGCCATTAATGTGCAGTGTCAGCTGGTGCCAGGTCCTGTTCTTTGTTTGGGGCTTTCCTTTTCTTCGGCTGTGTTTTGTTGTTGCTTTCCCTCTGTTCTCGGTTTTGTCTTCGGGCTGCTCGCCCTTTGCTTTCCTGTCTTGTCTCCTTGCTTTCATCTTTGTTGGATTTTTTCCTTTTTTCCTCCCTATTTTTTTTCCCTGAAAAGAAATTATGGCACATTAGAAGATTTGCTCAGACTATTGAAATTTCTGACTCCCTCACTTTTCCATGACCCGTGAAACCAGCCCTGGTTTAGCACCTCCCATTAGGAGCTGGACGCTAGTATTTTGAAATGTCTGATCACCACACCCACATCCCAGGGGATTCTTGGTATTGCAACATGAATCCCATTGCAGAGTGTCTGCTCCAGCACAGGTGTGTGATGGTCTTCAGGCTAAAATGTGTCTCAAATCAAACTCTAGACTATTGTCACATAATTAGGTATTCAACTACTTTATTGCTTTAAATCAGGTGAGATGTTGAGGAATTTGTTGCTGCTACAGACCTCTCCCATAAAGCATCCTGTCCCCTTAGGAACATTAAAACTTTGTATATTGGCTGTGGAGATGATATAATAGAGTACATTTATGCTTGCACGTGAGAAAGAAATTTTTTATGCTGAGTGTGGTGCAGCACTGGAACAGGCTGCCCACAGAAGCTGTGGATACCTCATCACTGGATCTGTTCAAGGGCAGGCTGGATTGGGCTCTGAGCAACCTGATCTAGTGGAAGATGCCTCTACCCATGGCAGAGGTGATCTTCAAAGATCCTTTCCAACCAAAACATTTCTGTGATTCTATGATTCTTTACAAACCAGTGCAGGAATCACATTAGCTTGAACTTTTAAGTCCACATGAGCCTAAAGCAGATTAGGTTTCTGTCTGTGTGGAACTACTGAGCTATGCAGCTGAAATTCACCTGCAGTTAGATGGATCTCAATGATATCTTCAAAGGCAACTTCTCTGGAGACTTTCCTGATAGAATGTCATACTGACCCCTATGCCTTCTTACATGGAGAAATTTCTGGACAAGTATTGAAAAACACCTGGCTAAACTCTCTTTTATGATATCTCAATAATGATACTAGTAATCTAGCCTTCTTTGTTACAGAGAGAATATTTTTTTGGTGTTAAAATTTAGCAGAGATAATCCAGGCTTTCCTACACCAGTGTGGGGGGAGTTACACAAACCTGGCAGTAGCTCTTGCTGTTGAAGGTGCTAAATTTTTATCAATTTTGCCCATTCCTGCCTCAAAACCAAAGTCAGTGTTTTTTGATGCCTCACTGAGCTCTGTGGGAATATGTCACAATGAGGGAGTAGCTGCAGGGGAAGTGGCTTTGTTCTGAGAACAGATAACCATCTAAGGAGGTTCAGGGTGCAGGTCAGATAAAGGAATAGAGATTCCGAGGAGGTGAAGAGAATGCAGAAAGAAAGGAGCAAGATCAAGATGTGAAAATATGCTCTTCTTGTTGCGTAGCTCTGTGGGAATATTTTACACCTTCTCCATTCTTTACCACCACTGCCTAGGACTGAAGACCAAGGGAAAGTTTGGACACACACGTTAGTGACCAATATCTGCCTTTATCGTTTATTGTTTCTGGAACAGTAAAAATTTAAATGTAAAAGAACACCTTAAACTTCAGGGAACCAGTTTGAGATTACCTGAATATACACCCACATACCTGCTGAATCCCTCTCTGAATTTGTAAATGCCCTCTAAGATGCCCAGATGTGAGCAGGGGAGACCTGCAGAACTGGTGTGGGAGGCTCAGAAAGAGCTACCACCACTGGGAGAACTGGGAGACTTCCATGCAGAAGTAAGGCTGCATCTTACCCAGCTGTAATGCTGTCTCTTACTAATGGATAAATGACAGTATGGGATTTCATTCCAGTGGTTTGTAAATACTATTGGCCCAAGATGAAATGTTATTTGAATGGAAACTGTCCAGACATTCAGTGTTTGACATTACTCACTTGGTGATTAGCCAAAATCATTCAGCTGTGACTTCCCAGCCACAGTTCTTTAAGTGTGTTGGAATGACATGTAATGGTTTCCCATTCAGTCATGGACCAGGATATATGTATTTATATGTGTGTGGATATACTAAGAATAAGATATCTTTGTCTAACTAGAGACTTATCTAGGCACAGCTTTACTGTTTCTGTTTTAATCAAGCTGGTATCTTAACAAATGACAAGGAAAACTGATCTCTGGAAAATACTTAAAACCGAGTCGTTATTCTCTTCTACTCTGAGGATAGCTAGTTTGGAGTCCTCTGTGCAGTTTGTACATGGTTTAATGTTACCATCTCCAATCTGCTGCCATTTGTGAAAAGATCTGCCCTCTAGACCTATAATGTTATGGTAATGCAATACAGCATGGAAGGGTCATCTTTGCTCGTTCTTTTGTTCCTTTCACTACTATTTTTAAAAATGAAAATTTTTATGTGACAGTGTAAGGTTACTCCTAGTCAGTTTGTGTTTCAGTTTAGACCCAAGAGAAGATTCTACCAACAGTTCTCTGCTAGCATTGGGATATATTTTTGTGTACATCACCCTCCCTGCTCATATCCCTTCTCTCTTCTTCCCAGAGATTTGTTCCTGAATATTTTTTCTTCTTTCTTCTACTTCCTGAAACTCTCTTCATCACAGCACATTGAACTGGGTACCAGATATCATGGAAATTCATTGAAAATTTGGGCATTTGGCTATCTGTGAAATGAAAAGTGCAAAAATTACATGGGCCATTATGTTTACAAGTTCATCTCTGAATACGAGTTGGCCTTTCAGTACTTAAAGAGAGTGTATAAAAAAAGATGGAGAATGATTCTTTATATGGACAGATAGTGATAGGACAAGGGGGAGAGGTTTTAAACTAAAAGAGAAGATTTTTAGATTAGATGTTAGGAGGAAATTCTTTATTGTGAGGGTAGTGAGACACTGAAACAAGTTGTCCAGATAAGCTGTGGCTGCCCCATCCCCGGAAGTGTTCGTGGCCAGTTTGGATGGGGCTTGTAGCAAACTGGTCTTGTGGAAGGTGTTCCTGCCCACGGCAGGGGTGCTGGAACTAATGATGTTTAAGGCCCCTTCCAACCCAAACCATTCAATATTTCTATGACCTACTTTGCTTTTGAAGAAGATGACAAGGCAAGGCCATTATTAAAACTATGTTGGAACTCAGTGAAGAAGTAAACGATGCAACAACATGACCTGGAGGAATAGATTCTCCTGGAATTTCAATTCCATTTACAAAGAATGCTCTTGTTAGAACCTTCTCCCGGGCTGCAGCATGAGTGTGTGTCTCTCTCTCTCTCTCTCTCTCTCTCTCTCTATCTCTCTATCTCTCTCTCTCTATCTCTCTATCTCTCTCTCTCTCTCTCTCTCTCTCTCTCTCTATCTCTCTCTCCCTCTCCCTCTCCATCTCTGCAGTGCTGCAGTGCCCGTGCCGCCCGCGCGGGGGCGCCGCGGCTCCGCGCCAGGCGGGGCTGGGGCGGCTCCCGCAGGTTCCTTCCTTCCCTGTCCCCTCCGGTCGTGTCCTAAAGCTCCCGCCCGTACCCTTCCTGTCCCGCCCGTACCGCTCTACCGCTTGTCTTGGCTTTATTTTGCCTGCGGGTGAACTTTCCCGATGAGTCACGGAATTCTTGCTATGATGCACTAACGTTACAAACGCTTATTTCTTCTTAGAGATTCAACACAACCCTTCAAAATTAAAAATAAAAAACAAAATAGGCTAAGTATTTTTAGACAGGAGATTAAATTTTTTTCCAATAGAGTGTTTTGCTAATGAATAGAATATATATAATATCAGAGAAGTATTCGTGAGAATCTAATACATCTCTGACATTATTGTACTATTGTATTACGAATGTAATATATTAATAACAATTATATTACAAATGTATAATACTTGCAATAGATATTACAATACAGTAATTAATTGGTGTTAAAATAGCTTTTATGTTGGAACTAAAGCTTTGTACAGACAACTGTACTGGAAGAATTGATCTGCAGGCACTGTGAGTTTTCTGGTACACAGGAGATACCTTGCTGCTTCTAATAATAGCAAATTCCTATATTGATGAAAATCTAGTGACTTGCTATAATTTTTAGAAGTGCAGTAGTTCAAATTAAATGCAGACATGAAATTAGTTTGGATAACAATATAATTACATGTCTAATCAGATTCAAGGTGCTGAGTTCTTGGTAATATATTTTATAGCCCCGGGTCAAAGAAATTCCTGAGTCTGTATTTACGCAATCCATGTCTGAATACATCTATTTAAACAAGCCAGGGTATTTCAGAGAAGCCTGTGCATTATCTTCTCAGATGTGGTATTTCCACTAGATCTGTAGCAGTATTTTATGGATTAGTGGGAGGATGCGTTGGCCCTGACTTGGGAGGCCTTGTTGCTCAAAAGCACACTATGACAGACAGTTACTTAGGAAATCATGGCTGACATGGATTAACCAACACAGGTTACAGATTTCCTGTGCTTTAAGCATTGTCACCTACTTCCACCTATTATATTCAGCTGAAATTATTACAGGGGACTTGGGTGCTGAAATCCCAAACCACCATAGGAAGACATAAAATGTGATTGTGCAAACTGCTTCACTTTGATGGGGGGGAAGTATTACAGGGTAGGCTTCATGGAAATCCCAGAGGGATGAGAATCTAGCCTCAGACATTTGTGATGATAGTATTTCTTTCATCACTCCCATGAAGACATTTACTATGGGAGAGCAAAAGGAGCAAGAGGGTCATGGAACTGCTCCTGTTGGGATTACAGGCACTGATGTAACAGGCCCCTCTTTGGAAGGGTCCCACTGCTTCTACTGTGACTGTCACCACGGACCACAAATCCTCCCCACTACACTGTAATAAGCTGAAAAGCTGCAATTAAAGACCACAAGCCACTACTGTAATGTGCCACAGTGTTCTTTCACACCCCTCACAGCCTTGTCTGACCTCTTGGTGCTTCCTGGCTACTGGAGCACTGTCAGCACTGGTGCTGCAGTACCAGTGCCCCAATCCCTTTGTACCCCATGAGCCACAGGGACAAAACCTAAAGGTTGAGTGCCACTACACTGTATTGCTCTCCTTTCCACCTTTCCACACCCTTCTCAGAGGCATTTTTAGTCCTCTTAGACTAAAAGT